GACGTCAGAAAAGAAATGGGACATGTTTCGTGCGAGCGACCGGAGAGGAGGCTATGTGACGAAGAGCTAAGAACTTGATTAGCTATGCAAAAGTCAGTAATTGTCATCACAATTACTTTTCTACAGAGTTTCGTGAGGGTAGTTGTTTTGTGAAGATGCCGAGGATTTAAGTCATTCAACATTGCACATCGGACCGAGGGCCGGACTGAGTAAAATAGCAGTCAGTATAGTTCTTTCTATGAACGGAAGACACGCAAAGGCTTTGAGAATACTACTTACAAATACATACCGGCAAAACCACGTTGCTATGTAAACAGTTACGTATCTTTTTACGTAGCAACATGGGCACATTATAGCAACCATTGATTTCGATTCAATATATGGCCATCAAATCAAAGTTCATAAAGTTGTCTTTTAAAACTTTCAACCAGAAATATTGAAATATGCAGTTTTTTCTATCCTCTAAAATCCTGATGGGAGAAAAAATTAGCTATCATTTCAAGTTTGGTGCAGTCTGTCTTCAGCTGGCGTTGGTAACTTCGGAGGTTAGTACGTTTTTTCCAATTCAAAAACCGGCCATTTAAAGAGCATAGCCTACTCCTCTGAGAATTTTGAGGACTATGATCATATAAGCTGTTCATCGCACATCAAAGAGGGAAAACATTTTAAGTCTTCTTAGTCCAAACGCATAGGGTAGGCATTCCAATCCGCCGACTAGTTTGATCGCCTTTTATTTTACTTTCTCCAATAGAGTGTAATCGTGCTTCATCCATCGATGTTACGCCTTGACGTAATATTCGGATACCCACCTGATAAATGTTCCAGACACACTACCAAAAGGCTCTGTGTCAAAATTAGGGAGTGATCTCCTGGTCGCTTCTGAGGTACATATAGTTTTGTTCGCTATTTTCGCACCGTTAGTAGACGATTTGAGAGAAGGCGTCAGCTACACACCTAGGTCTCTTAGAGTCCTTCCTTGCTCGGCTGGAGTAACTCCGATGAAGTACTGGTATTCGAGCCTCACCTTCGCTCTGTAGCTTGAGCATGGCCGAACGATTTGACATCTGCTGAAATTAAGGCAGAGGAGCTGTTTATTACACCAGTTTTGTTGGCGGTCCTAGTTATTTTGTAAACTGCGCATCCTCGTTCTTTAGATTTTAATCCATAATTTTAGTTCCGCTGCGAATAGGAATTTTGAGAATGCTGGGCCATTAAGATAGATGCGGGCCCCTTATGCTCCCCTGTCCGACCTCATTGTTAATAGTTTCGCACTAAGTTTCCGCGTCAGCAATTAAAATACGACGACGCCTGCTTACGAGAAAGAAAGCCAACGGTTTGAGTATGTTGCCAGTCACCGATTGTATGCAGCCTAAATCAGTCGTCTGTTTGGAAACCTGAATGTATCAACTGAAAACCCATTAATATGGATTCCTCCAGATTTCCATGGATGTGAGCAAATAAATAAATTTTATTTTTTAGGCCCGGAGGGCCTCCTCATTGCAAACTTAGTGCTACGGTAGGATTATGTCGTGGGGTCGTATGAGTGCGCGCTAAGCGCGCCCTGCTCCTTAACGGGACCGTGGTAAGAGGGGATCATACGGGTGGGGCGTATCAGGGAAGAAAAGAGCGCACAGTAATTCCAAAAATTAAGACAATTACGTAATGCCGTTTAAATTTGTTTTACTGAACTAAAAATTGGTTAAAATGTTGGTTAATGGAGTGGAAATTGGAGAAGAAGCAGCGAGATAACCAAGAAAATTGAGTGAGGAGAGTCAATTGGTGGGAAAAGAGCAGGAAATTAAATAACTCATCCCAAGGTCACGCAAAACTGAACCTCGTTCGTGGGTAACCAATGGGCAGCCAGCAGCCGAAATAAGAACATTTTCGGTAGCCAAAATATACGGACAGTAGGAAGCCAGACAGACATATGTGGAATTCCAAGGTATGAACTACAAAACCTTTTAAAAAGCATATTAATTTATACAAATTTATTGTATTGCACTTAACCGAATTACTGCATTGTACTATGGGTTTGAGAAAAGTAGGGTTGAACGTTGCCTAGCAAGAACGCGTGCTTAACCTTATGGAAATTCCGTTAGTTTTTGTTCACTTGTGCGGTCTACGTATGGTGTCCGGCGGAACAAGTCAATGTGCAGTATACGAAACCAACGAAACCGATGCAGATGGTGTGGATCTAGACAACACTTGCGAAGGTAAGCAACTTGCAGTTTCGTAACCTTAATGTTTGTGTTGCAGATTTCAACCAACAGTGCGGTAGCCAGGAATCGACAGGCAATCTACATGAAGATCGGGACCTGTCAAGTGTAGACTCCGGGTGGAGTGCCGAGTGAAGTCCATTAAGAACAACCGTTACGGAAGGTAAAGGGACAACTGTTAATTCTAGAGTATGTACCACAGCAAAAACCAGACTGCGCAATGGCAAAGTATACTGCAAGCGAATGGCAAAAGTGTACAAGAAGGAAAGGAAGCTGCAGCAGTGAGCTTCTAGGAAAAGGAAGGAATGCGAAGACGGATGCTGCAGCAGGTACGGCATGTGTTCAATGTAGACTGAAATGGTTATAGAGAACAGGCAAAAAGGACATGAACCTCCCGTAGTAGAAGCAGAAGGTCAAAGCGAATGAGAAAACTGGGAGACATATAATGCTGAAGTGCGTCTTGTGTAAAAACCTAAGTTTTTTCATTCAATGCATGATAATAAAGGTCCCAATAAATTGCAAGTTTCTCAAAGGTTGAGTTTGGACACGGTCTTAAGATATTGAAGTGTTCAGGTAGGTCATTTCGCTGAAGATTGAACGGTCACCTTTACCTCATACGCATGGACGAGGAACACTAGGTGGATAAAGTGACTGGCGAATCTTGTATGCACCGACCCAGAGACACAACGCCTCCAAGGATGCGGACGCCCTAAGGAAAATTGGGATGCCCGGTAGAGTTTCACTGCAAACCGGGTGGCGATTGAAATTATTTGGCAGTGCTTGAGATACAGTACCAAATGTGATTCAACCTTTACTTCAAACCCATGGACGGAGAGAACCAGGTAGAATGAGCCGAACTGAAATGTTTCGAAGGGACCTCGCGGTAGGAAATCGGCAAGATCGTTCCGCTGAAGATTGAACAGGGAGGTCGTGAAAAAAGACCTACTGAAATTTTTTAAGTAGTTGGTTATTATAAATAAGAAATATCCGACCTCAAGACATAATCCTGCCAGTGCTACTTGTAGTGTGGCAAGATCAACCGTTTCTAAATAAATTGATGCGCACTTCGCAAATTGTGTTCACATATATGTGTGCTAGGGCCAAAGTGAAATTCGACATGTTTGTGCCGATATTTTTATAAACTGATGTAATTTCATAGACAAACAATACTGAAACGATACTGTAAACAATTTTGCTGGCTTTAGACTGTTTTCACACTGTTCCGTGATAATTCATTCGAAATTCTGTCATGGTATCACATGTCCTCCAACAACTGCACATTAACTGTAAGAATAATATTGTTTGCTTTACATAAATAGGGTCCTCAAGGGCATTTCTTGCCTGTAATCCTTAAATATACATATATCAAATGCGAACACCAGTATTATATCCGCAGTAAACCGTAGACATGAGAATAAGGATTACATCAGGTGGATGAACTTAGCGTTCATCTTGCTTTACTGATCCATTTTCCTCTGCAAAGCGACCGTTGACGTGCAAACAACGACATCCCCACGTAGAGTATTTTATGCTTCAACACACCATTGAAAAGCACTTCCGAGAATGTAGTCTGGCCTCGTCGCACATAGTTTATGAGGATGACTCTATGTAATTGTTCGTACAAGGCGATTTAAACAAACAACGCATCATCCCAACTTACTTTCAAAACTAAAATACTGAAACACATTTTTTGCTAAGTTGAGAGACACATAACCATCTGGACTGAGCTAGGTCTTCTCAATCGCAATTAAGCTCCATCCATATAACTGGGTCAGATGCTAGCAGGCTAACCATAATAGTACTGATTGAGGGCTATCAGTAAGGTCAGAATTATAAAAATTGCCTAGTTGTTAGAGTAAATTATAGCATTTGAGATTAAGATTGTAGAATAAAATCATAGGTAGAGTTATGTCTCACGTTTGACATCAGAGTTTAAGGACGACAATAAGAGTTAAACTTAGCATTATGGAGTTGCGGTTTATGATAAATATCTTTAAGGTATGAGTGGTTAACGGTTACGTTACATGTAGGCTGGCGGTTTCGGGTGGCGCACTGTGTCAGAATTTTCTTTAAGCCACAGTTCTATAGGATCATAGTTCAAATGATTCGTCAACGGCTTTTTATTGAGGCTTTGGAAAAGATTTATTTTGATACATGTGAAGATTCTTACAGGAATATACATAATTCATCATTTTGTGGGAGAAATTCGTTGGGAAACGCTGAAAAACTTTTTGAAACTTTTCGAATCTGTCACACTAGGTCGTCATCAGTCGCGTGGAAAATGCCACCTTTCCAATTAATCATTAATATCCGTGGTGTGACGCGGGCTACCCGAGATCAGAGAAACATATGTACGGTAATTAAAAGGTATTTATCCACATAGTAAATTATCAACAGAAATAACAACATATTTCCAGGAACATCCTTTTGTTAAAAGAGATACCTCTCGTACATTACACAATCCGTGGGTCTCTGCTTGTCGGATTTAACTAGACTGAAATTCGGGCGTAAAAGACAAAATAGGGATTGGGATGTCAAACGCGTGAAGTGTAAGCGTTTCAGTTACTGCGTTTTGTGCGAGTTGTCTTTCTCCTGTATGTGTCTAGAAAAAGCTACGAGGCCACAAGAATTCCATTGTAGGCACAATAATCACACGCTTAGCTCAGTGTGCTTCACGAATATCCGCTATATAGCCGTGGAGAAGTAGCGATAAGTATGTCCGATTAATAGCAGACTTTTCCAAAATGTCTCGATGACGGCGATATGGAAAAGTCGAGCTTAGTTGCCGTACCTTGTTATCTTTAGCACTACTTTAGTAGTGCTCTGCATGCGCCCCTTAACCCCCATGGCAGTAATCCCTTCCAGTAATAATAGCTTCAAGGCCAGTATGTCGTCATATGCAGTATTTCTTACATTACTGTGGGTTCATCGTTTAAAGCAATGTAGCACCTACGAAGAATCTAAATAGAGTCTACCATCAGACTGGAGTGTTAAGTCCTCCCGCGTTCGATGCTTTATCAGGGCACCCAATGCCCGCTTAATTCGTCTTGTAAAGGCGGCTTCAAGTCCGCACACACACCTGGCCGTGGGTCTTTGGTCCACTGTGCTTACACATCTATGTAATAATTTATTGTTGTAGGATCACATCATATAACATATTACGACTGCTGCGCGCGCAGTCGAAAACAACTCCAGGTGGTTTTTATCGTCCAACAACAACATAGTTTCGTCTACATTTCGCTTAGATAACTTCTACGCATTGCATGGCTTACTGTTTTTCAATAAATATATATCAGGAATACGGTACTATATTTTAACATTGACGGTCATCCTGTCATAAGCACGTGCTTATGAAAAGGCGGACCATCATTTCTAAAGTACGCCATAATTACACTTTGGTCTTGCAGAACAGCGGCAGGCCATCAATTGCTGTCAGTCGTTTGAATCTGATGTTTCTCAGAGAATCGTGTACTTCGACTACCCGGTCCTATATGCAAATATTCGCCATTGCCCATACGTTGAACTCGGAAACTGTGTGACGCTCCTAGCAGTGTTCGGGGGTCGGTTGGCATGCCTGACATGAAATTTTTGAATGCTACGTTCCACTGAATGATCCATTATTTCATCCTTCCGCAACAGAAGTCTGCGAGGGCAACGAACTGTTTGTATTGTTCTCCTTTTCGTCAGTCGAGAACATTTTGCCTACCTCGCCGTCAGTTGACCACACGGAGTTATCGTATATGTTCTCGAACACATCCATCCACGTACGCTCGTCTGACCGTTCAACAATGTCTTCCTCATCAACTTTCAAATGCTTTCAAAAAAAAACAGCTTCCCTTTCTCCGTAATTTCTTGGCAACGAGTGCGCGTAGGGCCGTATTTCAATATGTGATTCCATTCTATCCACATAATATTGACTTTTACTAGAGCTGATAACATCAGTTTCCCAGGAGTAGCTCCTACGGTTAGTCTGCGACGCGTATTGTGATGGTCTAACTCCTATTAGTAGTCACTGCAGACAAACTCCGTTCAAAACTCCGATCAAGTTAATAACGCTCGTGACGGGGAGGTGGCTGTAACGTTGAGTTATTCGCATAGACTGTGCTCAGTCAGCTAACCAGGTCGCTAGTCGCACAGAAGCCACTATAATTGAGCTGTTAGGAACAGGCCAAACGGAGGCTAGTGCAATGTACGAAGGCTCGAATCCCGCTGGTATCGTTTCAGGTTTCCCTTGCATTTGGCAGCGCAGGCCAAAATAGCATGCAGTCTATAATAGAGCGAGTTGCAGTCCTGCCGCATGTAAATGCGCGTATCGATGTTATCTTTTTTGGTTAACAACTAATTTTTATCACTGCTCATTGTTTCGTCGTTTGACAGGCTTTCCTCCTTAGTCACGAATATACGATTTCAGGAATCTTTATGTGCATGGAGCGTCGAAGTTCTCATTCCAATTTCGTACTCTTAGTCATTCAGATTTTGATAAGTTGCACTTTCCTGAACTATAATCGCTATTTTTCGTTTGGCTGCTTTTCGCAAATATTATGACGTCACGCCTGTAAAAGACATTTCGTGGACTATATTTTGTGATATTTAACCACCCCACACACATTTAGGCTTGCCATCCAGTCGGAGTTGGATTAGATTCTTGAGTGGATTCTACACAAAGCACTACATATCATAGTGTCATCGTCGCCGCCCAAATCACCTTGTCGCCTGGAATAGGATAAATGTTTTCACTACCATGGTATCATGGTTATTTACCACGTGCATTAGCTGAAAAACGTCTCACAAAAGATGGATCTTTTCTTGTGTACAATACACTCGAGTCACCTAATTCGATACTTCTTTGTATTAAGTGGAGCGGGCTATGTCACCATGTGCCTATAAAATCTCCCAGCGGTATCACACAACCAGGCAATACTTCCTCTTACAGTCTAGGCGGACCTCAATTCAGTTCACTCAACAAACTAATTTCGTACTACAAAGATAATCAGCTGCCTATAGACTTAAAGTCTGGTGCAATTCCTTTCACACCTATACTGAAACCAACTTCATCCGAAGATAGTTCGGATTGTGGGATTCCCTCAATATCGACAACGAGGGGTCTTAGATCATCCGACTCAGACTTATCAATCAACCGCTGTCCTCCTGGTGGCACCTACAGAAGTCAGGGCAGTAAAAGTCTCTGCCGTCGTCCTGCTGTCAGAGTTTTCAACGAAGTCCGAAGCCTACACGATTTAGCGGACATTTCTCATGCACAATCTGTGAACGTGAATGGATTTCCGAGAAGAGAACTTTCCGTAAACTGTATCTCTGATGAGGTGGATAAGAATTTAAACACGGTAAGTTCCTTATATGATTGATGTAGTTTTTAGGTGCTAACTTAATAGACTAGTATAAAAGCTCACATAATTGTGATTAATATTCAATAAAAGCTACGTGGGGAGAGTGAAATTAACGTATGAAGCTTCTGTTATGTCTTATTTTTGATGTTTGTACATACTTGAGTGGGAATTTTTGTCTTATTACTTCATTGCTTCCGCCGAGGGAAAAAGCTACTCTGTTAGCAGGCTTGGATTCAAAATATTTCTTGGCAAACTTAGCACTCTAGGATTGTGACCAAAGAGCAAGTTAGTTAAATCTTCAATTTTCGACTAAATTTTGTTTTCACAGGAAGTAATACAGTTGCAGATAAAGCCTCCAACTATTCAAGGAGATTCAGAAGTGGACATTTTGATATCGCATAGTCCTTTATATCAGCGCAAATGCGAGTTTTTGTAAACGGAACTTCTTCTTACGTGCAACGTCCACTTTGGCGGCGTGCCCAGTTTCTTATTATTTTGTATTACTATCCAACTAACTAGTCTGTTCTTATAGTCTTAGGGGCTATCTTAATGGAGTAACTTCGTGTTTTCTAGCGCTAGATGAACACAAAATTAATCTTTATCTCAAAGCTATTAAGCCAACAAAACAATTCAACGACATTTCGCTCTTTAACTTTTTTAGGAGCCCACTGTGTTTCCACCAAGTTGTTCCGCTTTACAGAATGGAGCACTTAAGCAACAGGGGGTCGGCAGACCAAAGATAGACAGAAAGCAAATTCGCTATGTGGTCATGAACGAGCAGCCGCCTCAAATCAACTTCAATATCTCCGCCGATGATTTACTTTCGAAAGTCTCCTCAGATTCACTCCAAAGTCCGCTCTCATTGCGTCGCTCGAACCTTTATAATTCTGCCTACGGCGATGTGCCGATTGACACAGGATCTCTTGCAAATTCACACTTTCAGTATGTTCAACCCGTTAAATCGGGAGTCAATTCTGCAAGTCTACCCTTTCTGACCGACGTCTACGTTGATCCCAGCCTTTTTAACTTTGACGACACCAGTCAGGCCTACGCCTCTGTGCCCTCTGAAACCCTTCTTAAACCCTCTTCGTCGCCGTCGAGTGGAGCATTCGCACGAAACAGCAGCAAGCCGCCGCTTCCCTCAACAATTAGTCGACCAACCTCCACTGTGGCTCTGCAGTTGGATGTTCTATGTCAGGGGTTTATAAATTACGACCTGACTTGCACAGACAGACTTTCAGGCATTTTTGAATTGGCAGGCGATGACAATTTTAAACCACTTAATCCAACTATGTGGCAGTCTATAGGGGCCTTTCTGCTATCGGAC